GGGGGCTTGCATTCCAGTAGCAAGCAACTGTCCAATAGCCTTCCTCCTCTGCCGCCTGCTTTGGGAAATATTCAGGAACCCTGAAGCTACGAACCCGAACATCTTAAAAAATCTAGGCTGGGTACCCGGTTCAAGAGTCTTGCTTCGGCACAGTTGTGCTCCACCCTGGATCCGCTGCGCTGCCGGTCTGGTTTCTGTTACGCAGAGCCGGCTTACAGGCTGTTATGCACGCCCGGTTTCCGTTGCTTAATTCACTCCACATTGCAATGTCGTGGAGGGAACGAAAATCCCTTCCTCGTGCCCTTGATGCCCACGCCGAAGATGCCGGAGCGCCTGCTCCCTGCTGTCTCGTCATGAGGTCAGCATTCTGCAGACTGCAGGCCCCACTCCATACCAAAGATGGCTTGTGCTCCCAGATCCCAATTCCGCACGAGGCGCCTTCCCGCTGCTACCGTGCGATTGCTGAGTCGAGCTTTGTTAACTGGGCTGCATGTTACGCACACTCCGTCGCAAATCGGCCGGAGCAGACACGAGGGCGAAAGTCAAGCAAGGGCGTTCGGTACGCACGGACTCGCTTCAACTACTGAGGGGGATGCAACAACTCACTGCCCTTTGCTTTGTGGCACCGGCATCCGCTCATTCTTTTGCTATACACACACACATGAAGTTTTCACATCAAAATGGGCACGGCACAGGACCAGACAGCCGAGCTTCCACACTCGTGCACCAGGAAAGATGCTTGAAGTCTTCACGCCAAGCAAAGCACGACACAACACGAGCTGAGCTTCAGGCGCACGCAGCACTGTGAAGAAACGAATCTGAGGCACAGCGCATAAAATTTGTATGCTCTCATCGGTGCTGGAAGCCAAGTATGCTGCGAACATGCCATTCCTGCCTGGCCACCAATTCCAATCAAGCTGAGCACGAAGCAGTCCACGGCAGCCGCCAGGACGAGCTGGAGCGGTAGCTCTGTGACTCTATGTCTTGCATAACATCTGCACCAACGGCAGCAAAAGGCAGAGGCCGCGGCGAGAATGTCACAGATGTTCCAGCCATCTTGAAAGAAAGTTGATCGCCTGCGCCCCAGCTGGACCCGAAATATGAAACACCTACAGGATTCCTTCAGTCAGGCAGTCAGGGAGCTTCCGGAGTTCGTGCAGCGAAACAGCAGTCCGAGCACTCGGGGCAGGCTTGCATGGCCTGTCCTTGCAAGACTCCTGTTCTGGATCCCTCTGGCTGGCTTTCAAGATTGAACCCTTAAGTTCATCAGCCGATGTAAGCTAGCACACAATGTATGTAACGCGTGCACGGTTGTGCACCTCTTCAAGGATCCCCATCTAATGCCGAGCTCGACCACGAATAAGATCACAAAGAGGCATTCGAAGATGAACCTGAAGCGATGAGCAGCGCTGCCGGTGACTCGGAACAACTCGAACGGCCATGACTGAGAATCTCGATGTCAAGATCTTTGGGCAAGGCCAGATGATGCCGGAGCCGTCCTCGTTGAGATCCTCAAGCCCACCGTGTCGTGCTGTTGGCCGGGCTTACATGGGTTGGAGCTGCATTGGCGCACTGAAAGGAATCAATTCCTGCACGGAGCGGCCCTGCACACACGGTACACTGTTACAGGGGCACGGCTTGATTCGCTGCGCGGACGTGCATGGAATTCGCACACTGATGCCCTCTCCACGGTCTAGCTTAGCTGGGTGACTTGCAATGGAAGGAAGCATCGTGCACAGTGGGTGAAGCGAGACCCTAAACCCTACATCGGAGTCGTAGACCTTAAACCCGAAAAGCCCTGCACCATCAAACACCTTCAACCCTAAACCCTCAAGCCAAACCGTCAAATCTGTAAGAGCCTTTTGCCGTACACCCGGACCCTAAGCCCGAAGAGTAATGCTGATCCCCAAATGCTCACTCCAACTCACTGAACCCAAAAGCGGGGTATATCGTAAAAGTCACAAACCCAAAAGAACCTATATCCCAGAATCTAGACACATAAAGCTTAAACGATCTCATCCCGAAAGCGTACTCCAAAGCCCCAAACCCTAAACCCTAGCCCGTAAAGCTCTAAACACCAGAAACACTTGTCCCCAAACCCGAATTTCTCGAAAGCTATCGAAGGTGTTTGAATCGTGTTTCGTGCTTGAACAGTTCTTGAATCGGACGGTGCGCATTCTCCAAGCTTGGCATGCTCGAATCGCGAACGCTTCAATCGCAATGTCTTTCTACTGTACAGCGGTATCCCACTGCCAGTGAAGCTATTACAGGCGGGGAGAATGCGTGAATGTGTGCACACCTGGTCCCCGACGCGATAAAGCGGACTGTCCTGCTCCAGCCCAATCACGAGTATGTTCAGGAACCTTGAAGCGAACAGAGACTGGCGACAGACAGCCAAGTTATAGCGAATTCGTAGGCCGCCAGCGTGGTCGCCAAAACAAATATGTTGAAGGGCAACTTGTCTGTGACCGGCAAGTCGACCTGCATTCTCTCCACGTCGAAAAGGAAACAAGCGGGCACGGCCCCATGTGGTGCGCCAAGTCCTTCCTTCCAAGTGTAAAGGTCAGGGGTGACCCCAAGCCTCGGCCCTTAACCTCTTACGAGACGCACGGTCCTTCGATCCATGTCGGCCTGAAACTCCGCTTTGCTGAGATAGGTGCGACACATGCAGTTTTTCGCTCTCAAGTTTGGAGAATTAAGCGTTTCGAGTCTGAAACCAAGCTCCATTTTTGTTGCTCGAGGGTTCGAACGGGGAGTGCAGTTCGAAAGATTGAAAGATCACGGCGTGACCCTCAGGCGATCGGCCCGCCCAACCACACCATGTTGTTATGGAGTGGCTGGCTTTGGGGTCCCCACCGACTGCTGCACTGAACTACGTGGTTGGCTCTATGTTTCTGGGTTGGCGAGTTTTTCTTGAAGAACACTCTCTCCCTCTTTCTCATTCCTCCCTTTCCCTGCTTCTCACTTTTCCTGTGTCTTTCAGTCACTGCCACAGAACCTTCCAGCTCGAACAGCTGATATTTCTCCAGCAACCCGCAATCAATATCTCACTTGCTTGCGAGAACTTCCGAGTCCAGCCTCAGGCTGCGCATCCTGCGCAGACTACCATGGTCAGCCAGATGCAGGCGGCAAAGTGCAGCTTAACCCATGACGCATGTCCTGGTTCGGCCGGCCTGGCATTACAACCACGATAGTTCAAGGTAATAAAAGCGGCTCAATGCACCTTCTTGACCCTCCTTCTCATTCTGCGCTTCCTCAGGCTTGGGGGCGGGGCTTATGCGCAGGTCACGGTCAGCTTCAAGTCTTGGCGCAAGGCCTTTCCTGGACGCGATTGTCCAACAGTATCGACCTGTAACATGTGCATAGATTGACAGGGCGCGTTGCTGTTTAGTAGGCATGCCACAAGTTATCTCGAACGGGCTGTCTTCAGATTGCTGCATCTTCCTTAATGTCTGCTTCCTCATGTCCATTTTGCTCTGGCCTAGGGCAGAGCTAAACCGACGACCCACGCTAACTCTTATCGCCCGTTCAGCACGTTCTCAAACGTACAAGAAATTTCCGGTTGGCAGGTGGATCGGCAACTGGATTCCATCAACCAGCCAAACGAGGCTCTGACCTTCTCTTGTCTTAAGAAGAACAGATCAGTCTCTCGATGACGTGTGAAACATTCCATTCCGTCCAAAATATTGTCGAGTTAGCTTCCTGTTGCAAGGTTGGACTGGCGAGTTTTTAGTTTCTGATAATCTTCAAAGCTGCATCTTGCAACTTTCCCTGGTGAGAAAGCACACAATCCAAAGGTGCCGGTAACCCGCGACGGTTTTCTCGTCGGGATCGGGATCAAGTAGCATTTCGTTTTATGGCATCCTATACGAAAGCAACTGCTGCGATATTCCGCGGAATACCGGAAATTGTGTTCGCACCTTTATTCTGATACGAGTATCTGAAGTACCCTTGGGGTGGGCACTCCGAATATATGCTGGACAACTCAGGAAAACTGCGGGAGCCAACGGAGACCCTGCAGGGAAACTCTGCTGAGTATTCCCGGAGCTTTGGGGGTTTCTGGGGTGGAGGCCGGGCGAAGACCAGAACAGCACAAGGACGAGGGCTGACCCAGCTTAGGGAAAGCAAGGATCAAATCACGGCTGGGCAGGGCACCCCACCAGACAGGTGTTTGCGGAAATGATTTCAGCGGGAGCATCCGGAACGTACTCTGTCTCGAACCTCACCTTAACCGGATGGAACAACTTCCATGCGTGTCCCTCGGATCACCTTATGACAGTGCACCATGCAACCCCCAGACGTCTTCCTCAGACGCCGTCCTTCACTGGACAAGGCTAAAAATTGACGGGACGTTCCAAACCCAGGCCCCGTTCTGCGGCCGTGCTTGGCCGCTGAATCTCTGCATGTCTGCCTAGCATGACAGGAAGCGTGTGATCGCCACCTGCACTGTCCGATAGCCACCTTTCAAAGCCTTGGACGTGTGTGCAAACAAAATCAAACAAGAAAACACAGGGAGGTCGAGCAGACAATGCAAGGCTGCGGCTCTCTCATTCTTCGCTACCCCTTTGTCCTCCTCGGGCTTCACTTTGCCCTGAGCAAACTCAGGCAGCAGGCAGCACGAAGCTGGATAGCCATCTACCCCTTCCTCAACTCAGCAAACAGCCTTTGCTTTCGACTTCGCTTTGGCTGACATGGAGTGCGCAGAATGCCTAGATCAACATCTGTACGCAGTTTGAACTGTGCTGCTGAATGACCAAACCACCACAGGGACCGTCTGTGCCACTGCATTGCAAGCTGATAAAGAAACTGAGAAAGTCGTCGAGGTAAAGCTATCGTATCTAGCCTAGGGCCTAGCGTTCCGCCACACTAGCCGCTTAGCCTACTTTCCAGGCAGCTGCGAGAGCGAGGCCGGTGGCAAGCAACTCAACAAGAAGCCACAAAAACATCTTCTCGTCAACAGCGCGGTGGCATCAAGCAGCGTGGCAGTGTCTTGTGGAATCCTCATGTTGGCTCTTCAGCAAGCGCAGTCGCAAAACCTGGGCTGGGAGTCTGTGCGCATGGAACTCGCAAACATTCGATCCAATGCCGTAGAAGCTTGGTGAGAAGATTATAGCAAGATGAAGACCAGAACAATTCTGGATGAACACATGCAGGCGCCGGCCTCGTTCGAAACGTTAGTGATCTCCTCATGGTGCACCGTTGATGCTGCCTGCAGCGATGCAGGACTTACGGTCTGCAGGGCGTGCTTGGCAAATGGACTTGTCGATCCCTTTCCTACCTACATTTGCCGTGCAGCCGCTGCTCAGTGTATCTGTACGTATGGCTGCACATGATTTGTGCAGCCTGCATGAGCTTACGTAAACCGAAGCGTCTGAGCAGAAGACCTCCTGCGCCGCATCAGACTCTGGCCCTGCGGAGCGATGATAGGAATGCACACAACTGAGAATGATTGAGCTCTGCGCCAATGCGGGCCACCTTGTACCGTTTGCGTCTGCAGACTGGGATCCGGAGGATAACTGCAGCCACTGCAGGTACAACAGCGACGACAGGCGCTGCTCTTGCCTGCCAGCCCCTTCGTCTGCCGGTAGCGGCTGCTGACACGGTTGGGCTGCTTGAGGTTTTGGTTGTAGTGTCGGAACTGCTGGCCGAAGCTGCTGACCCTGCACCAAGGACAGACACTCCGCTGACGGACTGATGCAGCCCAGCATTGAGATTCCTCTGGGCACATGCTGGTGGCGACTGCGTTCAGCGCATCGGCTTGCTCCGTCAGGGAAGCGGCCTCGGCAGCAAGTGTCGGGAAAGACAGCGCCACACAGTGCCGCCTGTACAGGTCTCATCTCTTCTCTCAGACCGGTGCATCACGGCATGCTGACTTGAGCATTCTCTGCATTTCTGCAACACGCCTGCCATCACTTCGACATCGTCTGCCGGTTTGCGAGCTCCAGGACTAGCAGAGAGATGCAGAGACGAAGAAGGAAACGGTGCCGTAGGTCACGAAGAACGCAAGCAAGACAGACATTTCCGCAGGTGCATGCAACTTGCAAAGCGAGTGTCATCTTGACAAACTGCCTCCAAATTCGCTGTCGAGTGTCCCGGTCCCCATCCGAAGCTGCAGAGAGGTGTTCCAACTCGTTGCCTGCCTTTTGAGTTCTTGCTCCTTCGTGTCCAGTAGGTCCAGTTGTCAACGGATTCCCAATGCGAAAGGCGGGCGCCGCTGTGTATTTGCCATTCGGGTCTCTTGACAGATTGTCTCCCCTTGAAACATTGAAGACCCCGACTCCCGACCAGAGTTGCAGAGCGAGTTCAATGCGTGATGTTCTTCGAAATTGGCCTCGAAAAGGGCATCCATATGTTTTTGACAACAACTACGCACCAACCTGCACACCAGCTCACGACGGAAGCTTGATCGGTGCGAAGAGGTCATCGATTGACACATGACCCGTATGTGGAATCTAGCGATTGAGCCCGGTATAGAACCTTGTGCTGGGGGAGACTCAAAACACTGTCCGTTGCTGTGTGCCCCCTGAATTTTCCATCGCTTCTGATAAAACAAGGTGGACAACATGTGCAGGAGAGTGCCGGTAGGGCATGCAGCGGCCCGAGCTGTGCTTGGGCACCAAGCAGCTTTGTCTTGTCGTGGTCGCACCGCTGGCCCGTGGAGGCCCGGTAACGTGGAATGGTAGCCAGTGTTGACAACCCCAAGCCGTTCCTTACGAAGTTCGAGTAGAGTAGCTGCAACTGCCAACAAGCAGAGCACTGGAAAGCTGGGCAGCGAAGACGTCACAAGAACCACACACAAGAGAAACGAGTTACTTATGGGTTAGGGGGAACATTGCAAGCGTCGAGTGACCAGCAAAGCTCAAGGCCAAGCAGAGAGCGATCAGATGATCATAATAGGGAACAGTGAACAATCCATCTCGTGAGCGACCTTGCGGCCCTCGAAATCGCAGAAAACCAGCGGAGAGGGAATGTCGACCCCTTTTAAGCATAGCCAAGTTTCTCGGACTGCGCGGACCACAGGCGATCCCAGCCTCAAGTTGAAGTGTGCAACGACGACGAAGACAGACCAAGGAAGGAGAGATGCCTAAAACCGTGACCTAAGACCTCGGGACCCCGTGACCTGATCAAGATCCTCATGCTCACACGTGGTGACGAACTTGAGTTTTGGGAGCTAAACCCGGAACACCAGCGACAAGAGTGGGCATGCCCGATTGGCAGCTCAATCTGCAAGAAACATCTTCTCCCTATTCCTCGCAGAAAGCTGGGCCAGTAACCTCCATTCTCTCCCTCCACACCTGCAAGGTGAAAGGCAGCAGCATATGTCAGCATCCAATAACACATGCATTCCTGCGTTTTTTCGTGCAACACGGCAAGAAGGCCTTCCATGCCATTGAAAGGAACGTGGCTTCATCTAAACCCGCCCTGTTGAACCACCGGTCGGAGTTTGTTTAGGGTTGGCAGCATTTGGGATGCAGGGTCGTTCCTTCGATCCTTTTCGCCAAGGTTTACTCCCTCGACAAAGGTCGAAATCCTCGAGAGCCCTGCGGTTTCGATCATAACTGCTGGGCTTGCGAGAATGATCGCAAGATGGCGACCTGAACGGCCCTTGACGCATGCAAAAGACATGGCTCCACGAAGATGCCAACCGCGAGGTCCTGCTAATAGCAGCACATCTAAACTTTGTTTTCTCTCTAGAGAGGGTGCGAAATCTTGTAAGCCCTTCACATGGAACTTTTTATTTGACATTCGGTTTATTCGTTTATTCGGTTTGAATAGGTAACTTATCCCTGTCAGTTGCGACTATGTTCATAATATTTGTACGTACCTATTGGTGCGTTGCAGCATGAAAATATTGAAACTGTATTCACGTGAGCGAGATGACGTTCAGGTTGGCTTGACCCGTGGAGCAATAGACACCCAAAGCACTGCTGCTGGGTGCTCGCCGGGAACCCATACACACACATACATATACAATATAATGGAGTATAATACAGTATTATAATATATAGTATATACTGTAATCTCATATATATGATAATATAATATGGTATGATATGATACGATATGATATATATATATATATATATAGAAAAATATGGGTGGTTGTCAAAATTAGGGTCCCTTTTTGGGTCCGTGTTATAATGCGGCACCTATTATTTAGGGTACCCAAAAAAGGACCCTAATTTTGACAACCACCCAGTATATAACATATATTGATAATATATAATATGTACTCTATATATATATACATATATATATATATATTAATATTTATATATATATATATAAATATTATATATTATAATATGTAGCATATAATATGTAATATCATAATATATATATATATATATATGGTACCCCCCCCCCCAAAAAAAAAACCCACGCTTCGCTGTCAGGTACTCTCGACTTGCCCAACTTCATCGGGGCATGGATGCAGCTGCAATAACGTTCAGGGTCTTTCAGGGCTTCTCAATTTGAGGGATTCGCGACGTGACGTGTAAGTATCTGATGCTCAAAGGGCCTCGCTGTAACGGATACTTCAGCGGATTTGCGGATTCGCGAATTCGCAGATTCCCAGATTCGCAGATTCGCAGATTCGCGGATTCGCAGATTCGCAGATTCGCAGATTCGCAGATTCGCAGATTCGCAGATTCGCAGATTCGCAGATTCGCGGATTCGCAGATTCGCAGATTCGCAGATTCGCAGATTCGCGGATTCGCAGATTCGCAGATTCTATATATGCGCCACAACCTATGGTCTGTCAAATCTGCGAATCTGCGAATCTGGGAATCTGCGAATTCGCGAATCCGCGAATCTGCGAATCTGCGAATCTGAAACATATTATCACAAAACTATATTTTAGTATATGTTTCATATGCGAAGGCGTTCACACTCGTGTCCAAACATCACAACCTGTGAAACATCATGACATCCAGATTTCGTTTCTTTCTCAAGCACAGAGGCTGATACATGTGCGCATAAAGGAATCTGGTAGTGCCAAGGCAGGAAAAATTGTTGTTCCGGTGTGTGTAAAGACCCTGTTTGCTTCTTTTCAACATAAATCCAAATAACGGCATCATTCAAAAAGTTAACCTATGTGAAAGCTTTTTGTTGCTTCTCCATGCCTGTGGTTAATCAGATTACATACTTGAAATACTAAGTAAACATCCCATTCTATAGTGTTCTGCTTATAATATCTTCATTTTCATTTGTCACGTGCCAGACTAGTTGTCTTTTGGCCACTCATCAGTCCAACTCATGTATAGGAACCCACTATCATTGCCAAAATGAAGCCTCTAAAATGCATGCGGGCGTATCTAAATGCATGTCGGTTAAATTTTCTGCTTATATCAAGATAAGGAGCTAGCCATTTCAAACGGTTTACGCACATATTTAGTCTACTTGCTGCCAAGCCGGGTAATTGTTATTCACCTTTTGCATTCTGACAGCCCTATGCCAGAGGCAAGCAATTGAAAACATATGGGTTGGTGAATGGATGCACTTGTCCCGTGATTGAAACATGACCAGACCATGGTAATGTAGATAATTAGCTAATTCCAGGTGCTTACACAGTGTATGCCACAGTAGTATGTATACACAAAAACGTTGATTTAACCAGTCACCTAAGCAACTTACTGGCAATATTTGTTAGTGGTATATCCGTGCTTTCTTAATTTAGTTTATGATGGAAGTTATGACAGTAAACTGAACGAGTTGTTTGGCCCCTGCTTGAACTAACCCATGTAGCACGCCAGCGATTTTGCGAGTATTATCACGGATACATTGAATACTACGAGCCAGGACGAGGGACTGGTGATATCAGTGGCCAGCAGGGAAATCTACTACGGATTGCTAGTACTCATACCACCACTCAAGCTAAACGATATGCTCTGAGCGTTGGCAACGATGGTAATATCTGACGCCAATACTCGTAATAATGTGGGAGCAGGTAATGCTGGGAGCTAGAGGATTACGGGCAGCCTTGGTTTCGAGAATGTAGTGCTGCGGTGACTTGCAGGCCGCAGGCCACAGACATGTAGAATTTCAGGGTTCGTGGGCTGCAAAACAGGCCGAACCCAAATCCCGCTTAATGTTCTGCACGCCGGGCCCAATACTAATTTCAGTTCTCAGGGGTGACTTCCTACAACGGGAAAGGATTAAGCCGATGTAGGGAAATTAGCTAGTCAATGGTTCTAGAAGACAGCAGGCTTCTCATCCAAATCATGTCATATTGTGCAATGAGTCAGTTAATCAACAGCTAGGTTCGTTCAAGGGGACCTGGAACCTACACCCAGGGCTTCGGGACTAGGGCTTAGGGCTTAGGGCTTAGGGTTCAAGGTTTAGGGTCTAGGGTCTCTAGGGCTTAGGGCTTACGATGGGAATGGAGATTTGTCTGTCTGTGTGCCAATTAGAAACACTCCTTTTCCTTTTCGATGTTTTCTCCGGAGCTTGTTTGGTTATCTGTTCCTGTTTGGCTGGCTCATACAAACAATAATTGAGGAAATATGTTTTACGGAACTTCCAACGAAGCAATCAGTTCTTATCATATGGCAGTGAGGAAGGGGAAAATTGAATATTAATTCCTAATAGCAGTTGTACTAGTACTGTATCAAATTGTCTAAAATCTTATAAGATTATTTACATTTCTTGCTCCAGGGCAGACAACAAAACAATACTTCACTAGATTATCTTGGTTATATTGTGTTTTGCGTAATTCCTAACATTAATTGCAGTAATGCTGTATCAAATTGGACAAATATTTATAAGAATATTTATAATTCTAGTTATTAAGCAGATAACAGCAATACTTCACTAGATTATCTTGTCTACACCGTATTTTGCACACGCGTGGATAGCACATGTAGGAATGCTGGAGTGAATTATCAGGATCTTTTACTGGCTCTTGCGGGTCTTAGGGGGGGTAGCATATATATATATATATATATGTACTAGGTTACTGGGTGGTTGTCAAAATTAGGGTCCGTTTTTGAGAACCCTAAATAATAGGTGCCGTATTATATTAAGTACCCAAAAAGGGACCCTAATTTTGACAACCACCCGTATATATAATCATAACCGGGACCTTTACATCAAACAAGAGAAAGTTTCGGACTTCAACCTGTACTGCTTCTGTGGATGTTCAGGGAATTTGAAGGATAGAAGAGGAGCGAAAGGAAGCTCAGGCATGTCGTAAGATATTTTTCGAGCCTCCTCAAACGTGCAAACGCTGTGTAGAAACACGGCAGTACTTGAACATGAAAGGCACTCTGGCCCAGAGGTTCAGGCCCTGCCACGGGTCTAGGGGCGAGGATATGACACGGGGTTTGGGCTGTAGACTACTCGAAGCGCTACCCTGCTTTTGAGTCCGAGACCGATGCCTTAATGTGTCTTCTTTTTCCACACACTCCGTGCCAAGGCGCCAGGGACACTTTGTCCAGTTGAGGACAAGACTTCGGCAAGCTTTGATTGCACTGAGCTGAGAAGACGGGGAAGTCTGCAGTCAAGGCTTCCCAAATGCAAGGCGAACCTCTATAGCCTACAAGAAAGAAATCGGTTCGCAAACAGCAAAGACACCAAGCAGATGCCCACAGCCGTTCAAACGTGCTCAAGCATGGCTTGGCAAAGCATGGCGGCGACCGTCTCAACCTTTGTTTGAAGAGCGCGCTGTATGCTCCTTTCTGTACAGCCTCAGGAGCAAGAGTTCGCCTCTGCGCCATTCTCTGTGACAGGTTGCGGATTTGAGATTTGAGACTGTGAGACTGAGAGAAGAAATGAGAAGAATGAGATCCCAAAACAGCTCAACTTCCGGCTGCGCATGGGTCAGCATTCTCCACATGGAAGACAATAAACATACAGTAGCATTGCAGCATGGAGCAGAAGCGTTGAAGAGCTGAAGAATCAACCAGAAAGGTGTTGCTGTCATCGTTCGCAGTCAATCAGTCGATCTTCCTTTATTATCACGTTGTCTGCTACATGCATTTGCAGAATAGAGAAATATTCGGACATGCCCTGGCATCACGGCAAATCGTTCAGTCGCTCTGGACGGCCACTCAGGAACCCCTGTCAAGACATCGACATGTCTCGACATTTGTATGTCACACCTGGCCTTGCCCTCTAGCGAGATCACATTGAGCACCCACAAGGCCAGTGGCGTGGGCCCACCAGCCCTGGAGATGTGGTTCTGAAAGACTTAATACTTATATATTATATAGATAAGAAGCCACGCAGAACTCTTATGGCTCTAGACTCCGGAGCAGGTAACGGCCTGCCACTTCTCTTCTCGCGAGAAAGCTTGCTGCCAGTGCCTTAAGCAAGCGACTGGAAGGAACAACTGCAGCCGACTATTCTTTTGACAGAGAGACCTCGGAAACGTAAGCTGAAGCCAA